GCAAGTCATGATGAAGTTCTGGATCAGTGGTTCCCAACCAGAACCCTATCAGAAATCAGCTGGGAAAGGACTATTTTTCAACTCTACAGACTCTTTGCAACAGTTCCTAGAAACCTAGAAAAAGACTAGTATAGAAGCCAAGGCACTATTAGAGGTGGTGAATAACAACAGCAATTTGACCCAATTCAGTCCAAGGCAAAGCCAACTGATGAGCTAAATGGTGGTTAAAATTAAAGTCACCTTTAAAATTAAAATAATGAATATGACCCTAAACTAATAAGCGACATAGGTTTGGTTTGCTTGTTTATTTTGTTTTTGCGTTTTAGATGGATAAGCCTGTGTGTTATTTATTGAATCAGTTTGCTAAGTTATTTCTCCCTAGAAAATTGTCCATCTCATCTATATTTCTAAATCTATTGGCATAAAGAATTCAGTGTTTTTTAATCATCTTTTTAATCTCTGTCATAGCTCTAGTTATTACTCCATTTCTAATCATTTGTATTTTTTCTTAATAATTATGCCAAAGGGTTATCTATTTTAATAGTCTTCAAAAAACCAACACTCAGCTTTATTATTCTCCATCATATTTTTGGCTTCTATGGTACTAGTTATTGATTTTTATTACTTTTTCCTTCAATATTGGATTTGTTCTTATTTTCCTTCTACCTTCCTTCTTTTTTCAGTTTGGTCCTTAATTTTCCATTTTATCTCTAATGTAAGTATTCACAACTATAAATATCCCTCAAAATACTATTTTAGCTGCATCTCACAAGCCATATAGTATTTTCATTATTATTCCATTTTTAAGTGTTTGTAAATTTTCTACTTTGATTTCTAATTTGTCCCAAGAATTATTCAGAAGTATGCTTTTTAATTTCCAAGTGTATCAAGTCTTCTTAAGACATCTGGTTTTTTTTAATTTCTAAATTATACTGCAGTCAGAAACATAGTCTCTGTTTTCTACTAAACCAAGTTTAAACAGAGTCATCTTTATGTCAAGGTTCTCAGATATGATGCCATCCAACTATCCTACCCTTTATACTCCTGTTCCCCAAAACACATATCTTGTCCCAGGCAAGCCAGGCTTATCATCATCTTTAAGCCTCTTTCAGCTCATTCCTATTTCCGTGTCTCCATTTATTTTTAACTGGACTGTTATCTTCTTTCTGTCACTGTGCACGCTCTTTGTGTATTTTGGAGCTCCTTTAATGTTCTTCTGAACTTTCTACAGGTTTTAAAATTATAAACTTATGTTAAGATTTATATCAGCAGTGAATGTATTTAAATATTATTTTATATGCATTTTTTCATTTTCTGATGTTTGTGCCATGACCGTATATTGCATTTATATTCAATGGAAAGAATAAAGAATTTTTTTCAATTTCCACGTGAATTAATATATTTCCTCCAGTATTTTTTTGGTCTGTTTTCTTCATGGTTTTTTCCTTTTAGACCATCTGCTCCTCTCATTATATAATAATAATATTTTGAGAATTAATTACATAGCACATATACTATAAGTCCTTTACTCCCATTCTTATTTAATCCTCAGAACAACTCTGAGAAGTACCGTAATTACCCTTGTTTAATACCTGAGGAAGTTGAGGTTGAAACATGTAAGTGAATTTTTCAAAGTCACATAGCTAAACTACAGTAAAGATAGTTTGAATCTGGGTCTCTCTGACAATGAACCAAGGTGATTAACTACTATACCATACTAGTTCCAAGAATTTCTAGATTATCTGAGTATTGGGATGGTTGCTAGGTGACTAGGCAAAGACTTCGTTTTGAAATCACTCCAATACTCTTCTAAGATAGTCTTAGGATTAAATTCAGTAGTTCAGCTTATACTGTGGTATTCAAGAGAAAATTTCTTTTGGTAACGTAGATAAGTAATCAGAGGAATAGACACATATACTATTTCTGATTAATGTTTCACTCAAAAAATTTCAGTCATAAGCCAAAGAAGAAATGGATTTTTCATATGAGAACCAGGTCCTGTGAAGAAAGGGTCTTTCTTTCAAAGTCTGGTGTTTATTAAGAGTTTCTTTAATAACTGAAAATTACCTAGGGAGAACATTTCTAATACACTGGGGAATCTGTGGACAGAGGAATTTGCACTGCGTTATCAAGGGCAAATAATCTCTTGGGCATCCCTCCTTGTCTCCCCCTTTCCTCCACCCCACTCCATTCATCAGCTCACCTGCAGGCCAGGGGTGGAGTCATCAGATCTTCCACGACTGTCCGCAGGGGGTGGCCAACATATCCTTCTCCTCTTTTTCTCACTCTTCCACATTTTGAAAGCATTGGAAGAAAAATTTTCTCTGATAATAATAATACCTACCATTTATTAAATATTTACCATACACCATGCACTATGTTAAGCAGTGTTTGCATGATCTCCAGTTTTCACAACAACCTTCCTTAGAAATGAGAAATCCAAATCTCAGAAAGTGGCTCTTTGATTTACTCTGAATCATAAACCTCTAACCTGTGGGTTAGAGATTACAGTTGGAGGGAAGAAAGGAGGAACCAGGAGGGATAGTGAAGCTATTACTTGCCATTAATCATACAGCAGAATTGAGATTCAACACAGATCTGTACCTCTGAAGCAAATAATACATTATATGTTAAAAAAAAAAAAAAGAAGAAGAAGAAGATAGCAGGAGGGGAAGAATGAAAGGGGGGGAAATTGGAGGGGGAGATGAACCATGAGAGACAGTGGACTCTGAGAAACAAACTGAGGGTTTTAGAGGGGAGGGGGTGGGGGGATGGGTTAGCCTGGTGATGGGTATTAAGGAGGGCATGTTCTGCATGGAGCACTGGGTGTTATGCGCAAACAATGAATCATGGAACACTACATCTAAAAGTAATGATGTAATGTATGGTGATTAACATAAACAATAAAAAATTAAAAAAAAAAAAAAAAGAAACCAACCTTGAAAACCTACATTGAAAACATCCCAGGTCCTTATCTACAGACATTATTTTAGTCAGTTCCTAGCAAGTAGACAGGTATTATGAAACTTAGCTTAGTATTTGCAAGCACCCTGGATTCTTTTTCTTTCAATAATTGTGGTATATGAGGCTCAAAATTCAAGTCAAAAGTAGAAATCCTGTCCCAAAATAAAAATATCATAGGCTTATAAAAGGCAAGATTCATATGACATGAACAAAGGAGGCAAACCAAGGTACAGGTGTACCTGCCCCAGCAGCTGATTCCTCCTGCCCTGCACAGGCTCCTCCTCCCAGGTGTCTCTGTGGAGCATGCCCGAGGTTGGTAGCTTCTCCTGCGGGCACCTGGGCTGAGGACTCCTTCTGAGGAACTACTCAGCCATGCAGCTGCCTCCTCGGCTTTGTACACCCTGTTTCCGCTGCCTCAAAAGCTTTTATCCCCATCCTTTCTCTATTGCAATCTGGTGACTACTACTTGCAGGAACAAGGTTGTCACCTCTGGGACGTCTTTGAGTCTCCCCGTAGATCCATACCCACCCTAGTCTGAATTAAGCGTCTCTTTTCAGGTCTCTGATCGCACCCTCTACTACCCGCATCGTAGCACTCTTGAAAGTACTCTCTGCAATGACCTTGTAGGCAGGAACTGCGTTGTTCAGCCCCTAGCACAGTCATGTTACATCATAGGTGCTCTTTATGGATTAAAATGTGTCTCCCCTTAAAAAGGATACGTTGAAGTCCCAATCCCCAATACCTCAGGATGTGACCTTATTTGGAAACTGAGTCACTGTAGATGGAATTAGCTAAGGTAATTATTAATGGAGCAGTGTGGGGTGTCCTTATTAGACAGCCACGAGAAGACAGAGACACACAGAGAAAGCAACGTGCCTAAGCAGGCAGAATTTGGAGTTACACAGTTGCAACAGGGAGTGACAGATTGCCAGCAATCACCAGAGGCCAGGCGGAGGCAAGGGAGGATTCCCCTACACGTCTCAGGGGGAGCATGGCCCAGCGTACACCTTGATCTTAGACTTCTAGCATCCAGAATTGTGAGACAATAAATATCCATTGTTTTAAACCAGCCAATTTATGATTGCCCTAGGAAAACAGTGCCGTGCTCAATAAATTTGAATGGATGGATGACTTTGAATTTTTACCTATGACAGATCTGTGTCTCTTCTGTTATTTCTTGTTTCTAGCCTTGATCTAACAGAGTTTCTTTCATTTTATTTGGCCACTTGAAGGTACAAATTTTATTTGTCTGATTCTCAGGTTTTTCTTTTGTTCTCAAATGTTGTAGATGCAATTTTCTGCCTGGATGTCTCCAAAACTGACATAACTGGATTTTATGAAAGAATTTTTGTACCTATATTTGCCTCTTTTTCATAGTCTATATCTTGATAAATCTTCATGCCTACACTAAATTAGTTTTTTACACTTAGGAAAGCAGAGGAGAGACGAGAGAATGAGATTCCATATGTGAGCTCCTAAGAGCCATCTTGTCATGGACTTAGGCTGTGGCGTGCTGTTTGAGTTTGCTGATCTTACTATTTAATGGCAATTTAGTGGGGTGGACAGTAGCTGGGGCTTTGTTGTCAAACAGAGCTGGGATCAACCACAGTTCTGCCACTTCCTGGCTTGGGTACGTTTTTTTAACCTCAGTTTCCTCCTTTGTAAAATGGGTAATACTAGTGTCAAACTTCTGAGTTATTACAAGAAAATAATGGCATAATGTACATAAAGTTCTTAGCATAGTTCATGTAGTAAAGTCTTACTAAAAGTTATTATTAGATTATTAGATGGGCACCAAAAACACCCTCCCACTGAGTATCAAAATCACATTTTGTAAAGCAGCGTCCTTTGGAATCAACTGTGTTACAAATGGAAAGTATAAATCTATCATAGAAAACACATATTTTAAAATTCTACCAAAGAATACCAGAAGGGAAATGCAAAAAAAAAAAAAAAACAAAAACTACCCTTTACAGGCAAAAGCTTGATTATTGAGTCAAAAAACTCACCCACTTTTATTTTTTCCCTTTAAACAGGCTAAAAGGAGAGATGAGATTCTCCAACTCTTAAGAAAACAAAGAGAAGAGAGGATCTCGGTGAGACTGAGAGGCATTCAAATCAATCTAACCAGTGGCGGGGGCGGGGGAAGAGACTATGGCAAATTCTCAGAGGTTTTATGGATTGTCCCCATAAACCTAAACACTCATAGTCCAGAGCCTTCTATCTACAGGGTACAGACATCAGGCAGTTTGGTCATCCTTGAGAAACCAAAAAATTCTCCAGAGTGTGCTGCTCTATTAGGATAGAAATGAGGTGGTGGTGTTAGCAGGTTTGTCCCCCGTATGATAAAGCTCTAGGATAGTCACACGGCTGAGCTACCACAGTGCTCATCCTTGTTTTACAATGATTGATCTTGCTGAGATCATACAAAAACAAATGCTAAATGAAGAGAAACATAATAAAAAATAGTAAAACAAATAATAGCACCCTATAAACTTTCAGATGTACAAACACCTGGTCTCTTGAATGAACCCCAAATATGCTTCATCTGGAACATTTCTAATCCCAGTGTCTCCAGATTGAAGAAGCTAGTCTGTATAAACTCTGTGATAATTTGACCTTAGGTGTTTTGTTTTGTTTTTCAAGTAAGGAAATGTCAGTCAGTGCAAGAAGTAAAAATTGTGCTTTTTGAGTTCGTTTTGTTTTGTTTTTAGAAAGAAGTGGTTTCCCTTCCTTATAAGCCAAAGGCCAAAGTACACAAATCAAAGTAAGTTTACTTCTGTCAAATATGTTCTTACCTTTCTAGTTCCCCCCATAGAGAAGCACTGTTTTTGGTACTTCCTTTGCCTCCTACCCTCAAATGTTCTAAAAACCCACCCACTGTAGTCACAGATTTCTTGCCTTGAATAAACCTTCTCCTCAGCCACATTAAAGCCTGTGTGCCCACTTGCATCTCTGTGCAGCAGGCCAGCATAAAATGGTCAAACAGGACAGCAGATCAAGCCTGAATCTTTGCACATATTCCCTTCCCCCACTCTCCTGTTCTTGGCGTATTCACCTGCCCACTTGGCCTCTCAACTCCCCCCGCCCTCCCCCTCCTCCCTACACCTAGCTCCCTCATCTGTAGTAACTCAGCAGGTCTTTTAGATTACCAGCTCCGATACCACCAAAGGCATCCCTAAGGTTGCTAAATCTAGGTTCATGTAGCAAGGGCGGTAGCCTCACAGCAAGGGGTTAATAGCCTTATCCCTGGAAAAATGTTAGAGCAGGAGAAGGCATCGGTCTGAAGAGTTTAAAGGAACAACCTAACACCAGTTAATTATTAAAGAAGCCCTAACCAAAAAAAAAAAACAAAAAAAACAAAACACAACTCTCCATTTTCTGTATTATGACTGAAAACCAATGTGGCTAACTCAACATTAGTTTGACAAATATATATTTGCATGCTGTATTCAGGGAAGAACAGTTAGCAAGAGAATTTAGATTCTGCTCTCACTGGTATTGAGGTTGACTCCCTTTAATGTTATCGAAGTAATATTCTTAAAAAATATGTCCACAGTAATTTTAAAAAGCTTTGAAAGAATGAAAAGATCATTTAATCACCTGGCTGTGTTGTCTACATAATACTCAGCAGTTTAATTTCTTGCTTTTTAGTCAGATGATTTGAATCAGATTCTAACGGTAGAGCAAAACTAGTCGATGGAAAGATGCATTTATCTGATTCAAATAATGGGTGAAGACTGGTAAGCCTGGGTGCTTTAGGTTTCTGGGCATATTTTTATAGGAATGCTCAGAACATTCCTGGTACCACCCCTGTTGATTCACCTAAGAGTAAAACATTATTTCACAGCTTGAATGGATAATTCTTTAGGTGCTTGCCTAATTCCTTTTGTATTCAACTTGCTCATTTTCCCTCCTCTGCCCTGAAGCCTTAGATTTCATTCCATTTCACTGGGACATCTTCCTTCTCTGAGCTTCTTACAAAGTTACCATCTGTACCATTCTTTCGGCAAATATCCGTATGCTACTCTGCAGCCATATTTTATAATTACTCAACTCATTAACTCTTACATTATTTAACTCTTCGTGTATTTTTTTTTTTTTTGAGAGAGAGAGAGAGAGCTCACGAGTGGGGGGGCGGGGGGGGATGGCAGAGAGGGAGAGAGAGAGTCTTAAGCAGGCTCCATGTTCAGCACATAGCCCAACACAGGGCTCAGTCTCACCACCCTGAGATCATGACCTGAGCCAAAATCAAGAGTCAGACACTTAACCAACTGAGCCACCCAGGTGGCCCTCATGTATTTTTGACCTATCAACTATATTGCAAGCTCAGTGAGAAATTGAGTCACCCAAAGTGCCTAGTACACTAACTACATGTAGGAATTCAGAAAATATCGGTAACAAAATATTTTAGTTCAAAAAGATCATGTAGGGGCACGTGGGTGGCTCAGTTGGTTAAGCGATTGCCTTCGGCTCAGGTCATGATCCTGGAGTCCCTGGATCAAGTCCCGCATCGGGCTCCCTGCTCTGTAGGGATTCTGCTTCTCCCTCTGACCCTCTCCCCTCTCGTGTGCTCTCTCTCATTCTCTCTCTCTCAAATAAATAAATAAAATCTTAAAAAAAAAGATCATGTAGTTCAGTATTAGTTAATTTAGGTGATGCTTTTATACTATACATGATAAACATTTTTAAATTTTTGAAATATTTTATACAGAATTGTAAAATACTCAACTTTTGCCCTCTTTTTCCTCCCTCCATACTTCCTTGTTTGCCCAACACCCCTTGCACACAGAGATACATGCCTTTACCATCCTCTTCCAACAGATCTTAGGATAATCCAAGTCCACTTTTGTCAGAAAGAACTAGAAATAGAAAGTGTGTTCATAGTAAGGTTTTAGTATCAATATATTTATAGATTCATTATTCCTGTCCACCAAAGGAATACTTGCATTTTAAAAGAGGTCTGACTAGAAGGAAAGAAGGACCAATAGCTATTCCAAAGAAATCAATTATCAGTGATAATCACAAGTGTGACTCTCTGGTGAGCAAAATATATGTAGGGTAGGCGGTCTTCTCCCAAACCCTTTACATCACACTTCACAGCAAAATGACCATTCCTCTCACTTGTAAGTTTATACTTGGCTCCAAAATCCTCATGCATAGTCAGAATCCAAGACAGTCAATCTTTACTGGGGAAATTTTCAGGTGTTTCCATGCTACCTGGTGTTCACAACTACGGAGCTCTGTGTCTTAAAACTGATTCATGTTATTGCCAACAGGAAAGTGACATCAGAGTCAGATAAGGAAGACCAAGAGGAGGTCAAAGCCTTGGACTAACATGATGGACACATGGGAAAGGATGGCTCACTTAGATCTTGACTTTTGAAACACCCTTCTCTATGTCAGGATCATTGGGATCACTTTGTTAAAATAGACAAAGAAATAAAAGTTAAATATGCAGACTTCTAGGAATTTTACCAGTTATTGAATACTTGTGTCTACTTTACTTGATGGATACTACTGTATTTGACACCACACAATCGTCTCTCTCATCTTATACCTCTGAAACTCCTATCTTGTTTTCATCAGAAGTGTATGTCCAGAACTGCTATATTTGATCTATATTATGAATATCAGATAAACAAGAAACAGGGGTTTCATATGCCCCAACTTGAGACCACTACTAAAAAATCCTGAAAAAGTTAAAGTCTTCTTGCTGTAAAAAAAAAAAAAAAAAGTCCAAAATCCATTTTCCAGAATTTGGTTTATTCAGTTTCTGGAACATGTCTGAAGTCAGAAATTACTTCTAGTTCTGTAAATAGCGGCTTAACATTTCTATATCTTAGACACATGTGCATGATCGTATTGCCAGCCTCCCTCATTTTCAAAGGTCATTCCCTTTGGTATATATTTTATATATTGGAAAAGAGAAGGTTAAGTATCTATCTCTTCTGTGCTGTTTAACTGCAGCATTACCCAGGGTTGCATGCTTTGCTCCAGAGCTCTATTGAACCTCCCAGCTCCGTTGAGGACCACCGTTCACTTCACCCTTGGCCCCCACCTGCCACTCCTGGACATAACCCCCATCGGATGCAGCTCCTACCCACAGTGCCCACAGAGGAGTGGGTGACCCACTGGTCAGAACTTCATCACAGGGACAAACCAAATTGCAAGGGAGGCTGGGAAATAGTCTTTATTTATTTATTTTTTATTCTTATGTTAATCCCCATACATTACATCATTAGTTCTAGATGAA